ATATAGGGATCCGAACCCATGGCCTTGGTGTTATCAGCACCGCACTCTCCCGAGTGAGCCACGGGCCAGCCCCTAAAGTTTGAATCTTTAATTATACTCATAATTTAGTGACAATGATAGAAAAATAAAGCTTCTGCTGAGGGAAATACCATGCTATGTTGCAAAGAAAAGAAGGTTTCTGACCCAACTAAGGAATAAGCGATAGCAGCAATCTAATAGAACTGGAATCCCGGCTTGATAGGTAAATGTTAACAGAGAAGACCACTCACACTAGAAATAACTTAGTGTGTCCAGTGGTGAGCAGGAAAGTAGGCTCTTATGCAGAGCCAATTATATACATCTCTTCCCAAACCTGCCTTCACTGACTTCACTTTGGTAGCTTACAATCAACCATGTGGGAGTATTTATATCATGGAAAATGGCAAACACAATACATTTGGGTTTTCCTTCTCGAGAGCTGGTCACCAGGATTAGTATCATATTAAGAATTTCAGGAAAGAGCAATGAAAGGGACAATAAAAAGACAAAGAGATGCAAAGACAACTGCAGACTAACATGGAACCTGGAATTTAGAATCTTACCACTTGGGAGGAATGAGGCCTAGAGCACCGTGGGGACTTGCTCCAAGTCATAAAACTGATCTCTGGCATAGAGAATCCAGGTTTTTGTCTGTTTTTTAAAATTTACAATCTGGTGCTCTTTTAAGGAAAGAAATATGAGAAATCTTCCCCTGCTATGAGTGCTTACATTTCCTGCATTTTTATATTAAATTCCCGCCCAGTCTTAGGAACAAAATCATACTTATTGGAGCTGGTGCCCATCATCTCCCATTCCTCATGATCTGAACCACAGTCCAAGGCACCAGGCATATGAATCTTCTCCTCAGCAAAATGTTCACAAGCACAAATGCAAGGTTTTCCTCACAATTTCAGGAGATTACAGATCCCCAAGTACCCATCCTCCAGGTTAAGAACTCTTGTCTCTATAGAGACAAATCCCATAGCTTTGTCCCAGGGCCCCTCCTCCCATCCCAACCCCCTGAAAGCACCCATCCACCAGAAAGGCTGCAGGAAGGAAAAAGAAATAGCCTAACTAGCCTGCTGAATTGCTATTTTGGTCTAAATCAGGGTCCTCAAACCACTGATGATTTTGCTCCCCCAGAACATTTGGTAATGTCTAGAGGCATCTTTAGTTGTCACAACTAGGGGGAGGTGCTCCTGGCATCTAGTGGGTACATGCCAGGGATACTGCTCAGCAT